AATACCCATCAAGGAAGCAGTAATACTTGTGATTCGCCAGCCTCTCTAGCATCTGATCGATGAAAGGTAGGGGAAAATGATCCTTTCTTGTTGCTGCATTCAGTTTCCTGTAGTCTATACACATCCTGTGTCCTGTCACAGTCCTGGTTGGAATCAGCTCATCCTTGTCATTCTTGACCACGGTGACACCTCCTTTCTTAGGCACCACGTGCACTGGACTCACCCAAGCACTGTCTGAAATAGGATAGATGATACCAGCCTGCAACAACTTCATGATCTCTTTCTTGACCACATCTTGCAAATTCGGATTTAGCCTCCTCTGATGCTCAACTGATGATTTCGACTCATCTTCTAGGTGTATTCTATGCATGCACAAGTCTGGAGAGATACCTGAAATGTCATCAAGAGAATAGCCAAGAGCTTTGCGAAATTTTCGCAGCTTGCTTAGCAATAGGGTGAGCTCTGCATTGTTCAATGAAGCATTAACAATAACAGGATAGGTGGAGTTTTCTCCTAGGAATGCGTACCTTAGCCCTGCAGGGAGCTGTTTAAGCTCAACTTTTGGTGCTTTTGCTGCTGACCAGTCACCCATTGTGGCGGCTTTTGCAGATGTGGAGACAAGTTCATCCTGTGCAACCAGTTGCATAACTTGTGCAGTAGCGTCCATCATCTTTTTGTAGCCTGTTGCAGCAGCATCTAAATGCTCATACTCAGCTGTAGAAGTGGTCAACGCCCTTTCCAAGGGGTCATCTGAACTCATCTCATGGAAGATCTGATCAGCAATGTTTGTGAGAACATCAACATAAAAAGTCTGTCCATCTATGGTTGGCCTCTTCATCAGCTTGTCCATTTCGAATTTCATCACTAAATCGCCAACATTCAGCTCTATTCTACCCTTCTTGAAGTCAATAATAGCTCCTGCAGTGGCCAGGAAGGGTCTGCCAAGAATCAAGGGGTCTTTGGGCTCTTCTCCATACTCTAAAACCACAAAATCAGTAGGGATCATACAATCTCCTACTTTGATAGGAACATCTTCTATCACCCCTTCAGGAACTCTAACTGATCTATCAGCTAGGACAAGAGATATCCTTGTAGTTTTAAAATCAGTCATCCCCAAACTCTTTGCAACAGAGTAGGGCATGAGGTTCACACTAGAACCAAGATCACACAATGACCTCTCAAACTTGTCATTGAAGATGGTGCAGTCTAAAACAAAGCTTCCTGGGTCTGAAAGCTTCTCTGGAACTCTGTTCTGAATCACTGCACTGACCTGCTCGTTGATCATCATAGCTCCAACCTCAAGGCTCAAGTTGTTGGTCACCATTCTCTTCACATACCTCCTAATAACAGGAGTGATCCTTACAGCATCAATCAATGGGATCTCTATCACCAACTTGTCCATGATAGCCTTGCATCTGGCATCCTCAAGCTCCTGCTTAGACTTCTTAGGATGCTTAGGATAGGGTATCTTGGGTTTATACACGGTCTCCTTAGCATTATCTGAAGTCTTAGGCGAAACTGCAATATGTGGTGTCTGGTGACGAGCGTCACTGGGTTGGTGACGAACGTCACTCACTTTGGACGAGTCGGGGTCGAGTACTGGATTTGGGTGACGAGCGTCACCCCCTTGGTGACGGTCGTCACCAATAAGTGAAGAATCAGGCTCGGGGTTATCCTCATTGGGTGACGAGCGACACCCATTATTGGTGACGATCGTCACCAATGGTTCTGCAGCAAAATTTTCTTCATCTTCATACTCGTCTACACCCACGAAATTTCTTGAGGTTATATCCTTCTGTAACACTGGTTGCAGGTTCCTTCCACTCCTCAATGTGATGGCATTCACGTGGTGTTTGGGATTAGCATCAGTTCTTCCTGGAAGAAATCCTTTTTGCCTCTGAACAGCTCCTGCAGTTTGAGCAACTTGAACATCAAGCTTCTTCATATGAGAGTTCAGACTCTCAATTTTCCCATTCAGGTCCAGATAGAGCGAATCTATCTTGCCATTGAAGTCCACAGTAAGCTTCTGTTGTCCTTCCAGAATCTGTTCTAACATTGCTTCCATTTTGTTCTCTTGTGGAGGTGCTGGTTGATAGGAAGTAGAACCATAGTTTCTGTAATTTCCACTGCTCTGGAATGGCTTCTGATACTCTGTCTTCTGAAAAGGGGGTCTAGGAGTGAAACCAGGCGTGTTCTGTCCTCCTGTAGGGGCGTTTTTCTGATTGTTGTTGCTGTATCCTCTGTTCCACTGCTGATTCCCATACCTTTGTCCCTGAAATCCGCCAGAGTTGATGAAATTTACATCCTCCTGCTCAACTTCCTCTGGAGCTTCGAAAGTCTCTACTTCTGCAGCAAAGTGAACTGACTTCTTCCCTACCAAAAGGCTGTGCATATCATCCAACTTAGCCTTAACTTCAGCAATCTGATTTCCATCAGCTGCACCAGCTTGTTTCATTCTCTGGAAGTCTGCATTTTTAGTGCTGTTGCTGCAGACCAAGTTCTCAATCAGTCTCACCGCCTCCTCTGGTCTGTTGGTATTGAAGTTTCCACTGCTTGAAGCATCCAGCGCCATCTGATATTTCCAGTCAATGCCTCTGAAGAAAATCCCAAGTAGTTGCACCTGACTGAAGCCATGATGAGGACAATCCCTTTGATAAGACTTGAACCTGATCCAAGAAGCCTTGAAAGCTTCAGTAGGGCCTTGTGTAAATGATGCAATTTTCGTTCTCATGTCTTCTGATCTGGCATCATCATAGAAATTGTTCAGAAAAGCATTCTTGGTGTCCTCCCAAGTAGTTAGTGAAGCAGGTTCCAGTTGCTTCAGCCAATATGCAGCTTCTCCTCCAAGAGAGTAAGGAAAAAGCTTGCAGAACGGAAAGTCATTGCTAACCCCATTAGCTTTGACACTGGAAGCCAAGTCCTCAAACCTCTCTATGTGGTCCATAGGATGCTCATGAGGTAAACCATGGAAGGGATGCTGTCCGACCAGCTGATAGTAGACAGGTTTAACCTCAAAATCGTTCTTCTGGAAGGCAGGAGGTCGGATTGCAGTTCTGTTGGCATAGAACTGATCAGGTCTGTTGTAATCACCTAGAGTCCTCTGAACAAAACGCCCAGCAGCGTTATTGACAGCAGCAGGGACTCCCACGTTCTCAGCCACTTGCTGAACCTGCTGTTCAACAATGACATTCCCCTCTTGATCAATTCTCAGCCCCTCTTCATTCCTCCTGTTTCCTTCCCTGTCAACCAAGTGACCTTCTGCATCTTCAACCAAGATCAGTGGAGCGACCATTGTAGATTGCTTCTTAGCTTTCCTGTTAGTTCTCTCCAACCTAGCAAGCTCGTCGATGCTCAAAGTCACAAGCTCCTTCTCTTTGTTGCTTCTGGTTCTGCGATTAGGCATACACCTGAAACAGGAACAGAGAAAAGTAGCTGAAAATCAGTAAAGAAATAAAAACTTAGACAAAATCATAATACTAAAAATTGATAGGCAGCTATTACTCCCCGGCAACGGCACCAAAAACTTGATAGGGTCAGGTTTTACCCAAATAAAAACTACTGCAAGTGCACAGCAAAGCAGATGTAGTATAAGGGGTATCGAAATCCCAAGAGAGTAATGCTAACTACACTATCAATTATAGATTTGGACTAGGCTAAGCAAAATATGATGTATGTAATGCGAATGAATAATTAGAAATAAGCAAACGATGGTATGATATGTTCTAAGTTCAGGAAGACTAAAAGCGCTAAGCTAGGGTAATTCGCAGGTATGAATCCAAGAATGTAGAATGCAGGGTATCAGGAATGATTAAGAACCGTTTTAAACATGAATCTCTAATGCATAACTAATCAATTCTCATTGCAGAAGTTATCTATACCTAGATCACAGAGTTTCAAATCTCTTTGCAAACCCTAACAACCTAAGCATGCAGTAATGATCAGGTTCAATTGTTTACAAATTTCCTAAGCTAAATCTCTTTGTACTAAGTTGTTTTGCTCATCAAATACTAGTTCAGGCTATGAATAATGCTCTCACATATATTTAACAACCTATGATTTTCGGATTCCTAGATGATGTGTCTCAGAAATTCGATTTTAAAGCAAGCAGAGATGAAAAACCATGAGATATTCCTAACAGATAGCGATTCTACACTCTTTTCATCAACCTTTGAAAAACCCTAACTTAACTAGCAGATTATTCAGACATGATTATGAGATCACAAAACATAACTGAATAAAATTGCATTAAGAGAAAGAGTAGAAAACAAAGGGGGTTCGAAATCTTCTCTAAAGAGTACAGGATTTGTCTCCCCAAAAAGCTCTGAATAAAATCTCTCTCTAACTCTCTGAATTCTCAAAAACTAAGATTATAGCCAACAGTGGCTGAAAAACTTAATAAATAGAAGCTAAACACGATCTGGGGTCTTCATGCAAATACAGGAAACTTCTGGGTAAGTTCTGCAATTCTTCTTGATACTTTTAACAAATAGCCACGCTCTTTCCTATCTGGGTGACGAGCATCACCAATGGGGTGACGATCGTCACCATATGGGATACTTTTCTGCTTCGAGCTTGGTACTTCGTGGCTTCAACTCAGAATGCTCCAAAAGGTTCCAATATCTCCAATTATGCTTCAGACATGCTTTAACCTGCAAAGACTCTTCTAGGACTCTAAAAAGACCAAAAAGACTCAATAAAAAGGACTTATATCATGGTTAAAAACCATAAAAACTATGATATATCAGTGTGTAGCGATAAGATCTGACGGCTACTAGGTTTGTTCCTTGCATAAGTCGAATATGATGATCACATTCTCGTTTTGGAGGCAGCCCACTTAGTTTTGCAAAGACTTCCGAGAACACTTGTAAGACAATATTCAATTGGGCATGTGTTGTGTTGGAGGTAAGAGACCAAATGGCTTGAGTCTCCTTGTGGCGTTGCACCTGAGTTGTTTGGCCAAGTACCCCAGGTAACGTGAAAATCTCTTCCTCGTCTGTGAGCTAATTTTCCAAGTGGTCAGCCCCATTGCTTATTGCATTCAAAGCAGTTGCTTCACTCCCTCTTGTTGCTGCCTCTCCATGCCATTTTATCATCGCGGATGGGATTTGAATTTCTACTGTTTTGCTTGTTTCATCCCAAACCACGCATCCCAATGCGTTTAGCCAACAAATCCCGAGAACTATCTCGAAACCATTCAATAGAATTGTAAAACAGTCAGTTTGAAATCTATGCCCTTGAACACACATGGGTATCCCTTTGCAAAACCCTATAATTGGACATCGTCCCCCATTAGGTAGTAACACAAACCGTCCAGGTCTGCGTGTAATGAGGAACCCCATTTTCTCTGCCACACTACTCTTGATGAAGTTATGAGTACTTCCCGTATTGAGCAATACCCACCTTTCCCGACTGATACGTCCGCTCGAACTTGAAATGTGGTTTCAGTCTGCTCCCCGTTCATAGTATTGAGGGAAATCTCTAGCTCCTCCTCTTCAGTTGGTACGTCTTCTTGATCATCCCCATCCACCACTGGCATAATGTATAAGAGAACCGGGTTGCATACATGGTCTTTTGTGCAGTGATCATCGCAGTTAAAACAAAGCCCCTTTGCTCGTCGCTCCGCCATATCTGTCTTAGTTAGTTTTTTCCAGTACTTTTTCTGTGACGGTTGTTTCAGTCCCGTTTATCCCTTGTCGCTTTCGCTCCAGCCTTGCATACATTTCTTTTCTGTTGTCACTCTTGCTATTGTACTAGCCTGTCTTGTGGGCTGAGCTAAATGTCCTCTGAATGTTTGTATCCTCTTATCTCCTTCAATCTTATATTCAATATCTCTCGCATACTCCATTGCTGCAAAGATTGTTTCTGGACGAAAATATTCAACTTCCTTGCACAAACTTTCCGTTAATCCTTTGCAGAATTACCATAGTTGTTGATCTCCTTTGAGTTTGGTCTGACTCCCTAGACACTCCTCAAACTGGTTACAGTAGTCATTGATTGTCCCGGTGTGCCTTAGATTAGACAACTCTCCCACTGGATTAACTAAGTCAGCTTTGCCAAAATGACTTTTTCGAATCCGTTTGAATTCTCTCCAACTTAGCTTATTAGTGACTAATCATCAAAGATTATTATTCCAATGATATGCTTGCCCTGTTAAGACAGATGTTGTCTGTCTAATTTTGGCGTCATCATTGCAGATCCTCTGATCCGCAAAATAGTCATCACAGTTCTGCAGCCATTCAACCGCGTTTGTTGTCCCGTCATAAGGGGGGGGGGGGGGACTCCATCTTTGCTGCTGGAACAACACGCCATGCAGGGGTATAGCCTCTGTCATCATGAGCCTCGTAACCACCCTTCCAAGTTCGTTCCTCCTGAACTCAAAAATCACCTTGAGTGTAACTCACTGGATTCTTGTTAATTATTGCTCCAATTGGCTGCACATGCCATTCCCCTCCACCATCAGTATGACACTGGTCTCGCTCTCTTGCCACGGCCCTAGTCGGCCATGGTCCGCCGGAGATACCAATTTTATGCTCATCTTTTATCAACCCTCTCTCCCCTGGTTTTGATCAATTTCTGTGTTTTTGCCCTTTCGGAATCTGGATTCTGTGCTTTAGGCTGAAATGAGTGCTTCCAGGTTTTCGGTTCTTTCAGTAAGAGTTTGGACCTTCTCTCTGATGCCGTCAAGGCGCTCCATTATGAGAGCGAGCTGTGTCGCGATCGTGGACATGTCCATCATCGGATCATTCGGCTATAATACCAAATTGATACAAGCCTCTTCTTTCGCCTTTGCCTTAGCTTGGGCTCGGGTAAGGCGAGTGGTAAACGCTGGTAATTTCTTCTTTCTAGGAGTCGTTGTTAATGTGAGCAATCTAAAATATTAGCTTAAGCTTTCTTTAACCCTAGTCTCTTTAAGAATAAGGTTAATTGTTGGAAGATGATTCTTATTAAAACATAAAAGACCCTTATATAGGCCACGGTATAATCAATGAAAAGGAAAACCTTTTAAAACTTAAAATCCACAAAAAAAAGAAAGACCTCCGAACTTAGGTCTATCTAGAAAAGAAAAAACACCATTACTTAATTATCTAATCTTTTTTTACGTTGGCTGTATTTGATACCGTAACGTGTATTATGCTGACCCAACTGAAAACGAATTTACAAGACAGGTGATTCCAGGCTATCCCGTTAGTGAAGCTCCCGTAGACTAATTTTAAATGATCGATGCCTTACACCTCAACCACGACAATTTAGAGCATGATATTTATTGGAAGACATTCCCAGCTCACCTAGAGCATGCCGCGAAGTAGAACCAGCCCAAACCTATTCCAGATGAAGGAATTATTCCTCTTACAAGTCCGGTGAACCAGAACTTACCCGATTTGGATATACAAGCGTTTATTGGAGGATTACCACCAAACCAGAAGGATTTAAGCTATGAACCGACTTTTTATGGAAACTTGACTCAACATAGGCGTCCGTCGAATTGGATTCATGCCAATGCCAATTTTCATTTAAGAGTTATTAAGTTTCTAAACTGAAGGATACCAGACTTGTCTTATTTGGAGTCTTCCGAGTTTGAAAGATTGCAAACATATATTTGGTGACCAGGAGACAATATAAACCATCTAAAAGATTCACAAGACGTCCTTAGCTACACCAGCACCCAGAGAATCAGGCGGATCCTCCCACATCTCACATCTCAACTTTCCTTTCACAGATGTGTTCACAAAATGTACATTTGAAGAGTTCACACAACAACTCTTTAATTATACCCAACTGCTATGTCATTGTTACTGATACGTTTTGGACTTCCTAAAAACCATCGAGAATGTTTCATAGAGACTTACTTATCCCCTCAAACCGTCCAGATACAAAGGTGACATCTTATTTGGCTGAGATAGACCCAATAAAACGCCAACGACTAGTATGTTTAATTCAGTTTGATTTGTTTCTTGTTTTATTGTTTTAGACCATTAGTTAAGATTTGAAAGAGCTTTATATAAAGCTCAGTTCGACCATTGTACAAAGCACTCTTGATCATACATTAATATAAAAGTATTGTTTTCTTTTCAAAGGCTCGTCTTCTTTAAGTTACTTTTCCTTTGAGTTTAGTGTATGATACACCATTCTCTAGTGAAGCCACGAAATTGTTTGTTGTATGATTCAACAGATTGTTTTTGTCCTATTGATTGAGTGAGTCAGTCGCTTCCCCCTCCATTTCTACCATCATTTTCATAATTCATAAGTTTAAGTTTGAAATCTCTAAATCATCGAGTGTTCCTAGGAATGGAGTGATTCTGTGCCTATATCAGTTTCCTATGAGATTTTATTTCAATTTTCTTAATCTCCACTAGATTAAATTACTAAGATTCTTTTGCTTGGCACTATGGTCAACTTCAAATCTTTTCATTATCTTTTCTACGTTACATGTTTTCGCAAGCATCTAATAATATATGAGATAAATTCCAGTTTTCCATAATTTTAATTTTTCTTCTCGTATTGTTGGTGTTCTTGAGTATTTCACGGAATGCAAATAGGGATGTATATTCTTCAGTATTGATGAATTCTGTCACACAGGTCCGTCCAGTGGAAGATGAGTAGTTTTCGGGTAGGTAGTTGTATCCATCGTCTGGAACCTACAATCACTTAGCCATTGGATTAAAAGAGATTCCTTCTTTAAAATTCTCTGACGCTTAAGCCAGATATACACCACTGGGAATAAATACTTAGAGGGATAGGCTATGTGATATTTAGAATGTACTATCGCGTCCGTAGACCGTTAATATTTGGCACGGATTTATATGTCGGCATGAGAGGGGATCAGAAGGCTTTATTGGGCTATATTATGTATATAATGTATCATTATAATATATTTCCTTATTCCTAGATATTGTAGCTTGTAAATCACGTTTAGAATATTATCTTAGGAAACATGAATATAAACCGTATCAATAATACACAGGGGTATGATTTTCTATTCTATTCTCTTTGACATGGTATTAGAGCAGAAACCCTTAAAAAAGAAACTGAAAAAAACAAAGTTTTTTTGAAGAAAAAATAGAGTAACGATTGGTCGTTAAAAAAAATAAAAAAAATAGAGTAACGATTGCTGAATTCCCAGGAAACAGAGCAGTGGCTGTACGTGCTGATGATGCCGCACTTTCACCATTCTACCTTGATCCCTCTGATGAACCGGGGAACTTGATAACTACAGTAATTAAAAGGAGAGAATTATGAAGATTGGTCCAAGCATGTGAGGAATGCCTGGCGGACAAAACGGAAACTTGGATTCTTTGATGGGATTTTCAAGAAACCAACGATGGCGATTGAGATTGAGCAATGGGAAATGGTGAATTCCATGTTGGTGGCGTGGATCATGAGCACCATTGAACCCACACTTAAGACTTTGGTTTCAAGGGTTGATGAAGCGAAGCTCTTATGGGACGATTTGAAGTTACAATTCTCGGCTGGGATTGGTCCGAGAGTTAGTGAACTTCGTTCTGGAAAACTGCAAACAACACAGTGACATCGTGACGGTGTACTTTGGCAAGCTTAAAAGATGTGGGATGAGTTGACTGTATACAAGCTAATTCAATCGTGTACTTGTGGAGAGCTGGCAGTGCATTTGGAAGAGGATCGTGATAAAGATCGCACAAACACGTTTCTTAATGGTTTGAATATGGAAAAATTTGGCACTGTTTGATCCACCGTTATAAGCGTGGAGTCTCTTCCGAAACTCTCCCACGTGTATCAGCGGATTATTAGAGAAGAGAGACAACAAAACATGACCCGAATCAGGAATAAGAAAGTGGATGCGGTTGGCTTTGCCGCACAGACTGGAGATCGATCCCGTCCATCTCAATATCTGGAACGTGACAAGGATGTTACTTTCACACATTGTGGGGAGTTTGGCCATGTGTCTGATTGCTTTCAAATCAAAGGTTTTCCAGAATAGTCGGGAGAGCATGAGAGAAACTCAGGTCGTGGTGGTCGATCTGGTCGTGGTGGTGGTGCTGTTGGAGGTTTCGCTGGTCGTGGATGTGGTGCTCATATGGGCTGTACTAACGCTTTTTAAACGGGACCTGTAGCTGCAACATCAAATCTTGGACAGAAAACAGAGTGTGATCGAAGTTCTTTGCCTACTTTGACAGATGAACAGTGGACCTCCATGGTGAAGTTTTTCAACACAAAACAACCAGATTGCGTTGATAACTTTATTGGTAAGAGTGACAATGTTGAATTTATTATTGACACAGGAGTTTATCACTACATGACTTGGAACCTTAAACTCTTGCATAATATCGTTGATATTCCTCCATGTTCTATCGGACTCTTGGATGGAGATCGAGCATGGGCGGTTAAGCAAGGAGATGTTTGTTTGGGTTGTGACTTGTGGCTGCGTGGTGTTTTGTTTTCTCCCTAGTTGACATGCTCTCTAATTTCAGTGGCTAAGTTGCTTAAACTTACGAAAGGATCTGTTACTTTTACTGAAGATCTTTTTGTTTTGCAGGACCGTACGATGGAGACGCTGATTGGAGCAGGTTAAGAGTGCAGTGGGGTATATGTGCTTCGCGGTGTCATTGGAGCCAGTGCTCGTAAGACAGCAGCAACGAGTTCAGGAGAACAGGATCTATGGCGCCATCGTTTAGGTCATCCTTATAATAGTGTATTATCGTTTTTGTCAAGTTATGTTGATGTTGGGAAACCTGCTTAGACAGAAATTCTTTGTAATACTTTTTTTCGGTCTATACATACCCGTGATTGTTTTCAAGAGAGATTCTAATAATGCTGCTGAATTAATTGGTTTAATCCACTGTGATATTTGTGGATCATATCGAACTGCTTCCTCATCTGGTGCATCATATTTCATCACTATTGTTGATGATTTATCTCGTGCAGTTTGGATTTATTTATTGCATGACAAACGAGCAGTAGCGGTTACTCTCCAAAAGTTTTGTGCAATGGTTGCAAGACATTTTGATAAGAAAGTTCGCATTGTGAAAAGGGGGCTGAATTCATGTGCTTAAAGCCATTTTTTTGAAAAAGAAGGGATGTTACATCATACATTTTGTGTGTATACGTAGCAGCAAAACGGTAGAGTAAAATGCAAACACCGCCATATACTAAACGTCTCTCGTTCCATCATGTTTCAACCTCATCTACCAGTTCGCTTATAGAGAAAATGTGTTTTGGCTGCTGCACATTCGATCAATAGGACACCATCTATTTTGCTGCATGGGAAAACACTATATGAACTCCTATATGGCAAAACTCCACCATTTGTTCAACTGTGTTTGGTTGTTTATGCTACGCTCACAAGCTGTCTCAGGATAAAGATAAGTTTAGTGAATGTAGCCGAAGATGTTTT